TCCTTTCCTTTTGTCTGAATAAAAAGATTGTGTAGACCAGGAATGAAATTTCAGGAAAACAATATTAATTAAGCTACTAAATTTTTGCCACGCACCTTCTCGAAGACTGGTAAATATCTGTTTGCAGCCTTGTCCAAAGCATTAGCAAGATGTTCCCCCTTTTTATCTGCTGGTTGGACAACGTTCATCATGATTAACTCATACAGATCTGCCAATCCTTCCGCATACATGTCAATTCTGAAAGGAACAGATCTAGTTGGTCAAGTCAAATAGTGAAGGTCAGAATATTGGAACAGGAACAAACTTAAACCCATCAGTAAAAGGCTGTGCTCCTTCATTTTTCACCAGGGCAGATACTTCTCTGTATTAAGTTTTTTCAAATATGAATACAGAATTGCATATTGACATTGGTGTATCCAAACCGATGCCAAAGCTCTCATTAGCTATGTTTAATCAAACAGTGGGGCTGTACAATTCCTAACAGGTATCTTGAATTATGCTTATTAAGTTGAAGCATTTTAACATACTTCAGGTTAAACCATGGTTCCCCAGTGCTTTTGCTTTTTCCTTTCTGAAAACCATGTTGAACTCTGATCTTTATAAATTCCCTTACGCCATCCTGCCTGCCTTATCTAGCTTTTTATTACTACTGTAAACATCACCCACAGTCATGGTCAACATGTGCTATAAAAAAACTTGCTGAACCACTGTGTTTCTGAATGTGAGCTGAAATATTCCGTGTTACGACATATTTTGTTTACAGAAAAGCAGTACCAGCTATGAGCTAACAAACAAAGGTAGTACTGGTACAGTACAGGGCTCTCTCCTTCAGGTCCTTCCCATAGAGATTGTATTTCCCTGCTATGTAGTTGAGGATGGCTCTGGTCTGCACCAACTTCATCCCATCAATCTCCACCATGGGCACTTGCTGGAACAGCAGGGATCCATCTGGGGAAGAAGAAGACAACAAGGAGATGCTGAGCGTTTGTGACTGAAGACCATCTGTGGGGATATGGGAAAATAACCACCATTCTTATTTTTGATTCCTCACTCTCATAATATGGTGTGGAATGGTTTGCCACAAGACCATTCATTAGTGATATACTAATAACTTATTAAAAGTTTCTTGAAGTTTCTTCAAATCCGAAGAAGTGCCCAAATGCAGATCTTTCAGCAATCATATGCTGAAAAACACAAGTCCAGAACTGCGTGGCCCTAATTCAGTTGATTTTTTGTTGAGGTTAGTACAGATTCTAAACACTAAAGGATTTGACCTATCATGCACCAAATTCTGATATACCTTAGTAAGGATTTTGGAAACCCAGACTTCTGTTAGTGTTTTACATTAATATACGTGTTAGTTTTTATACTTATGACTCCTACACTGACTTTCTACAAAACCATGCTTGAAGCAGGGAATAATAGTTGGCAGTTCACATGATTCCTGCATAAGCCAAATACCGATTGGTGTGAGATCGTAGCTGTGTAAATCTCGGCTTGTCTGTGTAAGTCTTACACTAGGAAGGAAGAAGGCAAGCTGGGAGCTGTTGGAAGAAACTGTATTTGCTTCATGGAATCACATTTCTTGACACAGCTAACCCATCAGCTGCGTCCACCTTTGTAGCCACACTAAGGCAGGCATGCACGCAAACAGAAACTTTTTGCTATTAAAGATATTTTCATTTGTGCTCATGCTTCAAGATGATCTGACTGCAGATAATATATTGACATAAGGCAAGTGCCAATGAGTAAAGTGGGTTCCCATCTGAACACCAGGAAACACAGTTACTGTGTGGGTCATGGGGTGCTGGCAGAGTTTGCCCAGAGTCTGTGGAGTCTCCTCCTTGGAGATCTTCAAAAGCTGCCTGGATGTGGTCCTGGGGACCTACTCTGGTTATATGAGCAGGACTTGTGCCAGATGGACCCCAAGGTAATGCTTACTACAGCACGTGTCTGTGATTCCATCTGTACCAGCCAGTCTAGGTTTTCTTTTCAAGAGACATAAGATTCCTGTCATGTTCTAGAACACACAGTTCTAATGGTCATTATTATCTGATTATTAAAAGCTAAAGGAAACTTACCTGTCCTTAACTTTTGGAGATCTTCCTTTTTTTCCAGAAATTTTTCTTCAAACTGCAGGGAATACGGAAGGAAAATTGTTTTCTGACTATATGTTTTAACTTGTCATGAGACAACAAGGGCCCAAAATGCAATGCTGAGGGAATTTTGTTTCAGAAACGCCAAATAAGGATTTGAATAATTAGTTTGCCTTTGCCCTATTGTCTCCTCATCACTCTCCCATGCAAATTTGTATTTTTGTGCCCATCACATTTTGGCTAAACCTGAAGTAAAGAGAAGGCACAAAAGTTTCTCTTCTGAAGAAATAGCAAGCATGATGCTGGAAAAGATCTATACTACAAATCAGGAAGAAAGTGTGAGGGTGGTGATACAGTGGAACAGGTCACCCGGAGAGGTTGTGGATGCCCCTTCCTGGGGCTAGATGGGGTTTTGAGCAGCCTGGTCTAGAGGGAGGTGTCTGTGCCTGTAGCAGAGCAATCTTAAAAGTTTCTTCCAAACAAATCCATCCTATGATTGTATGATTCTGTGCTTGTGTTCTGAGCCCTGGCAGGAGATGTTGCAGGGAGGAGAATAGGAATATTCACACTGGAAAGATGGATTCATGTTAGAGCTCCTATTCCACAAGCTGACAAAAGCAGGGATGAAGACTATTGTTTTTTGGTGTGTTGCCATCACAACAGCAAACAAAAAGTTCAGCTCCTAAAACACACATTCCCTGCTCTATTATCTAGAAATAATTAAAGTTAAAACAATAAAGTGTTTTTTAATATACAGTATGCTCAGGGATAAACTTAGAACTTTCAGAATGTAAAGTGCTTGACTCCTCTGATTAGAGGACAATAAGCCAAGTTTTAAATAATTTCTTTCAGCAGTCATGAGGAAGACGTGTTTAAAATGCTAAGACTGTGCTCGTCACATGATGTTGGAAATGAAAATGGAAGTTGCTTCTCCTGCGAAGGGTAAGGAAGTGATGATCCTTTGTTCTGTAATGGCTGTGCATTTTTTATAAGGAATACTGTAAGTGAGTATTTGTCACATGCTTTTAGTGGAACAACTGTAGACAAACCTCAACTCCAGCAGCCGCTAGCAGCCACCTTATTGGTTCCATTCGGCCTCGTGCGTTAGCATAGTGCAGAACTGGCTTCCCAGACATGTTTCCACGTATCTGATTTCCTGCTGCCTATAATAAAGAAGAACTATCACAAATCAAGCAGGATCAGAATGCTGTTCATGAATCTCCAGCTGGTTCTCAAGCTCTGCACAAAATTGTCTTCTTTTAAACCAATCACTGATGATGCAGGACTCTCATCAAATCAGAGGACATAAGAGAGAATAGACTGAAAGCTTGTAATGTATTTTCAACACACAGTTTAGTTAAGCAGAACTGTGTACTGAAAGAATTTGGCCCATATCAGAGAATGTGCAAAACAAAGTCCATTTCTAGTTCAAAGTGCTCAGCTGCTCAGCTCTGCCAGAAAAGCTGGTTGTGCAATACACATTGCTCCATACACAATATAAATGTAGTAATCGCTGTAGTTTCTTTGGTAGCCATTAGGCTCCACTTCAAAGTGACAGGAAAGATTTTTCCCTCCCTCCTTACACACGCTCGATCTAATTCACAACAGTCCCCATTCCTCTCCTTTCTTTAGGCCAGTACTTGAAAATACAGAATTGAATTTGTCTCTGATATCATTTGGCTGCTGTCACCACAGACTGAGACAAAGTGAAATCCCTGCTCAGTGCTACTCCAGCTCATGCTGGGATTTAAAGAAATAATTGTCTCCAGGCAAGTGGGCACCTGCCCCATTCAGAACCAGGGCACAGCAAACAGCAACAG